TTCCGGTTCATGTACCCAAATACTATATACATTGGCCCTAAGTACTTATATCGGGACTACATTAAGGCCCAAGTATATACTGCTTGGCTACATGGACCCTGGGGGATTGAGTGCAGGCCATAAAACATCCTCAAACCGTAGCAGTTTTGCTTCCCCCAGGTAGACCCCTGAAGAAGTAGGATTTCTGGATTCCGCGGCAAGCTTTGCCTAAACCTTACCTGTGGTCTCAAACTCTTCAGAATTATAGAGCTGTGACGCCTTACGTACAGGGTCTAACCCCTGAAGTAGGATTTCTGGATCTATCTAAATCCCGAAAGCCCTAAAACCCCAAAAGTTCAGGGTTTAGGGTAACACCAAATCCAAAAAAATGCAGCTTCGAGTGCACCTCTGACTGGAAGTAGTAGTGGAACCTGAGCTGCAGGGCGCCGTGAAGAGACAGGGTGCAGGGTTTGGAGCTTAGGAATCTTGGGTTTCGAGTTAATTTGGGTTTAGGGTTTAGGGTTTAGGGTTTAGGGGTTTTAGGGTTTAGGCGCTTACGGTTTGGGGAATTTTGGGTTTACTGCTTTAGGGGATTCATGGGTCTATGGTTTAGGGTTTCGGGGTTTAGTGGTTTGGGGTTTGGTGTAGTTACATGTAATATAGGCTTCCCCAAGAGGACCATGATTTTGACGGTACCCCAGATTTCAGGCCCAGGGCGGGGGATAGAACGCCCAGCACGCCTTGAAAAGGAATACGCTGGATTCTCAGGGTTTAGGGAATTCGGGTTTAGGGAATTAGAAGCTGAGTAACCTAGCCAAAAGAGTTAACCTTTCAAGATATATGGTAGGACTATGCAAGCCCCAAAAATAGGTTCAAGGCTGCCTTCTCGGCCCCTCAGCGTTGAACAACATGTAGGGTTCACTGTAGATGGAGATCTAGGTGTAAGGCTCAGGGAAGTGGAAGTTGCAAGAGTACACCACCGGTTATATCATTTACGGCAACTCTCTCGAAGTCTTTCGGAGTCTGAAGTGATGAAGAATAAACCCTGAGCCGTATTGCTGCCATCAGCGTCCTTGGCTGCTTTATGAGGATGCGTTGCTTGCACCCTAAACCCTAAACCCTAAACCCTAAACCCTAATCCGTGTTCGCCCTTGCTGCGGCATTGCCACCGGCGAGACTGGACTCCTGTGAGTCGTTTGCACATGCTCAGGCGAAGCAGAGAACTGTTGTCGCGAAATGCTGTGTACGAACAAGCTTGTCCTTGTACTTCCTGCCGTGACACCCAACGATCGACAGCAGATGCCCAACCTGTGAGCTCCACTTCCCCAAAGGCTCCATGTACCTTTATAGTAGCTACTTAAGCCTAAAAGGGGTCCCTATATAGGTACTTCAGGGCTTAAGTATCTACTATAAAGGTACATGGAGCCTTTGGGTTTATGTTGATCCAGCTTGTGTCCGTCAAGCCACTTCCTTCTTGCAACTTCTTCAACAGATCTGGATCAGTGGGGTTGCAAGCCGCTGTGTACAGGCGGGTCGCAGCTTGAAACGACGTAGAACCCATGTCGTGCAGCCCGACATTCTTTTCAGGGCTTTGCCACCCATAAAATCTCTCTTTCATTGGTTCGTCTGTTCCGGTGAGAACAGATGGGGTCTTGCCTGACAGCAGTTCGTACTGATGCATCCCCTCAACCCTATACCCTAAGCCCTAAACCGCATCACCAAGGGCGCAAGTCGGCACACCTCTCGGACGATCTTCGATGCCGAACTTGATGTTAAAGCACGGCAGTGTACAACAGATTTACACAAACACCCTACATCCTTGCCCCGAGAAGCCATAGGTTAAGCTAACCCTAAACCCCAAAACCCCAAACTCGCCCTAAGCCCTAAACCCCAAACCCTGAATCTCGAACCCTAAGCCCTAAACACCTACACCCCACACCCTAAATCCGCAAACCCTAAGGGTCCATGTACCCAAATAGTAGATACTTTAGCCCCAAAGTACCTATATAGGGACTACATTAAGGCCAAAGTATATACTATTTGGGTACATGGACCCTCAGGAAAAGCCCTCAATGACTCAGCCGTGAAGCAAAACTCGGACGGACTCTGGCAGCTGGTTGACATTCAGGAGCCGCCTCATTAGAACTGGATTTTCGGATTTAGGGTTAGGGGTTTCGGGTTTATGGTTTAGGGTTTAGGATTTTCGGATTATACTTCTTTCTGTCTATCTATCGCTCGATCTGACTATTTATCTATCTATCTATCTATCTATCTACCTACCTACCTACCTACCTACCTATCTATCTATCTATCTATCTATCTATCTGTATGTATAAAAATTAATACTAGATGGGTTTCAGGTGCAGGGTTTCGGTTCCGTGATCAATAGAACGGGGTTCGTGGTGTATTTGAATTATTATGCTCATTACGTATACGTATATGGTCAAGGACGCGAGGAAAAGCTGCTACTTATTTTTCAAGCTTCTTTCTCATTTTCGAGCAGGGTTTAGGGGCATTTAGAGTGTTCAAGAGTCTGGGGTTTAGGGTTAAGGGTTTTGCTTGGGACCCTAAACCCTACACCCTGAACCCTATTTTTGTTGTTCTATCTGCATACCAGTGGCATCTTGGAACTGCAATTTCGGGAAGCCTATTTGCCTGGGCCTTCCAGCAAATTCAGACAAGTAGACTACTCAGACTTGGCAACTACGGTTAGAATTAAGTTGAAATTGTAGATAAGGCAACCATGTTGAGAGCTTTTCGTAACTCTCAAATACTTCCAACTGTACGTTAACTGACTCGGTCGACTAGGTCCCATGAACTTCCAAGCAGTGTCCCCGGCCAGACCTCGCAGTCAAACAGTGCTGACTCAACACGGCCGAGCGATACGGCTGTGCTCATCACTTCTGCTCGTCCGGAAAGTTGAAAGACATCAGCGTGTCCTGAATCTGCTGAACGCCGATGCGGAGCAGAAGTTGGGGAGGGTGAGAGCCAATGCCGCCAATGATCACTTCCTCCATTACCGTTCCACGTTGATTTGGCAGTTCAGAATCCAGCACCAGTCGCCCTGTGTCGACTCCTACGTGGCGCACGTCCCTGGCCATCAACACGTGCGGCAGGAGGCACTTGACCGCCTTCTCGCCCCCCTAAACCCTAAACCCTAAACCCTGAACCCTAAACCCTGAACCCATCGAACATGACCACGCTCACCGTCTCATGCAAGCGCAAGGGCTGGTAGAGCCGGTACATTGTTGCAATAGCAGCACCCAGCTGGTATAGCTCTTCTTGGGAACCCAGGCGGCTCCTAAACGTCTAAACCTTAAACCCCTCAACCCTACACACCTAAACCCTGAAACTCTAAACCCTAACCTAAACCCCTAAACCCTAAAACCCTAAGCCCTAAGCACCTCAACCCTAAAATCCCAACCCCTGAACCCCTAATTCCTAAATGGCAAGCCCAGAAGCACCGCACACACTGTTTCCCCTTGCCCCCAAGGTTTAGGGGTGTAGGGTTTAGGGCTTAGGCCCTAAACCCCAAAACGCACCACCATAACATCCGAAAGTCCTGATTGGAGGAATGTCCCTTAAACACTAAACCCTAAACCAAAAACAACATAAACCCTAACACCCCAAACCCCCAAACGCTAAACCCAAAACCCTGACGCCCTAAACCCTGAAACTCCAAACCCTAAATCGGCCCTAAACAGCATCCGTCTATTCCTATCAGGGGGAGCGCTAGAGGTTCTGGATTTCCTGCAGGGGTCCCTTAACTTGAGGGCTCTGCCAAAGGTCTAGGGCTTCGAGTTCAGAGTTTAAAGTTTATGGTTTCAAGTTTTTAACTTTAACCCTTAACGCTTCGAGTTTAAAGTTTAAACTTTTAAACTTAACCCTTAGGGTTTAGGGTTTTGGTGTTTACAAGGATTCCCGGAATGGCTTCATATCTGAAGGTTGGCGTCAGGATCGTTCTATTAGCCTGCTTTTGAAGTCCCCTCCTGATAGTGACCATCACTTCAGGAATATCCCTAAACCCTTAACCCTCTAAAGCCTAAACCCTCCCTTAAACCCTACACCCCTAAACCCTAAACGCCCTAAACCCTGAACCCCTAAACCGTGCCTTAAACCCTAAGCTCCTGAACCCTAAACGCCCTAAACCCTAAACCCCTAAACCCTCCCTTAAACCCTAAACTCCGAAACCCTGCACCTTGCCCAAAGCACCATCGATAGTTTCGAGCCCAAGTGATACGACAATCAAGGCCGCAGTTCGCATCTGAGTAGTTGTCTAAATTGGGGGAATAGGGGTTTTTTTGGGTTCCTTTAAAGGGTTCCTTTAAGGGTTCCACAGGCCACTATAAGGGTTTAGGGTTTAGGGGCCTCAAAATAATATGATTGAGGCCCCTATATTAGTTGTCGAAATTCGGGTCACTTTTGCGGGGTCCTTTTGTCAAGGTGCCGTAATATTTTTGGGGGCCGAAAAGGGACCCTTTAATTGAACTACCCATCTAGATCCAATCCTAAATGTCCAAGTAGTCCTTATTTCTGGTTTCCGATACCCCAATTAAAGGGCCCCCAAGGTCCCAAAGAAGGAGTACTTGGACCCTTAGGGCCCCTAAACCCTAAACCCTAAACCCTAAACTTTAGGGCAATGTCCTTGTCGAAGGAGCCTGAACCCAGCAAAGCTGCAGAACTGGAAGCAGAGCCCAAAGGATCCTAAGTACCGATATAGTCGAATTTAGGGGGTTTAGGGTTTAGGGTTTAGGGTTTAGGGTTCTATGATCGGAATCATTGCTATGATTTGGGAAAGTATCCCCCGTAACAGTACCTAGAGGACCCGGTTTAGGGTGCCCTGTTTGTTGGCTTATGATCAGGGTTTGCGGTGGTGGATTGCGTGTAATCTGCAACCTAGTATTAGAATAGGGTTTTTGGGTATGTTGTACTATAATTGTAACCAACAAGGAACCCCCCTAATACTCTAGGTAATCATTGAGGCCCCTATATAAGTCAAAAAGATCGTCCAGGCATCCGGCCAAAGACGCATCATCCGAATCATCCGGATGCTCTTGATCTCAGCGACAGCTCTACGTTATCCAGCTTCAGTATGTATATATATATATATATATATATGTATATACATATATATATATATATGTAAACATACATGTACAGAGATGAAGGTATAGATATATTATATATAGACATTATATATATATATATATATGTATTTATTTATTTGTTTGTTTGTTTGTTCGTTTATTCTTAGGTAATTAGGGTAAGGTAGGAAGCCTGAACACCAAACCTTAAACCCTTCAACTTGAAATCCATGGAGTCCAATGTTTACTTAAACTCATCTCCCGGACCTGTATTGCTTCGTGGAGTCCGGACCTGTATTGCTTCGTGGAGTGTTTCTTGCTGAGGCCAGGTCAGGGCAACCGATGGGGGAAGAGTGCAGCGGAGAAAGAACCCTTATGGAACCCTTGAAGGACCTAAACCCTAGACCCTAAACCCAAACCCCTACCCCCTAAACCCTAGACCCTAAACCGTAAACCCTGCCTAGAAGCATCTCTGAAAGGAAGCCTACAGGCCCTGTGCTCTCTAGGTTAGGCGCCCTTCGGCCTGAGCGTCTTTGCTTAAAAGCATCATGGGTAGGGTTATGACTGAGTTATGAAGGTTTAGGGTTTAGGGTTTAAAAGTTTAGGGGTGCTTTTAAATGCGTATCGATAGCCCCAGTTAAGGTACGTAGAGCCTTACTTACTAAGTCTCATGATCCTCCAAGTAGGGGAATTACGTTCTGCTTTCAGGTCGCCTTCGGCTACCCCTTTTAGCAGATGCTAAACCGGAAATCCTACACCAAACCCGTTGCGGATGTAATCTAGGGGCCAAAATACTTAGAATAGGGTTCGGGGCTCCTTTAAAGGAACCCTAAGAATAATGTAGGTAATTACTTAGGCTTCTGTATTGAGGTTTGCAAAGGATATCGGGAACAGGGGCGTAAGGTTGGAGGCAGGACAAGGTCAGTGGCTAATATAGGGGCCTTAATAATTAGAATGGGGTTTTGGGCTCTTTTATGGTATAGATTTGATAAGGAACCATAAGGACTAATATTGGTAGTTATTTAGGCTCCTATAGTATTTGTAGTAGTCCCGAGGCCTCACACCAAAGGCCCTGAAACAGCAATGCTTCAGTCGTAGTTGTGTCGGGGTAGTCCCCTCCTAAACTCTAAACCACAAACCGAACTACACTCTACCCCCTAAACCTAACTAATCTCTAAACCCTGAAAGCCCCAAAGCCAATCTGGCGCCGGGGACAGCCCCGGGAGCTCTTTGGGTGTGACTGTACTACATTGCAAGTATGTTTGTACTAACCCTCACCCTCAAAGGACTCATATGTTAAGGCTTTTGGGCCCAAAGACCCTGTTATATGAGGGTTTTGGGCTATTTTGATGCTAAGGGTAAAGCTTCGCGCTTTCACTGTACAGCGAATACCAGAAAGCTGGAACATGGGTTTAGGAGGATTAGTGCTAGGATCCTTTATACTTTACATTAAGGGCATGAGGACTACAATGTATTATGGCTTCTACGATGAACCCTCACCCTAAACCCTATAACCCCAAACCCTGATTCTAAACCTTTAACCCCAGTCTGCTTGTCTGTGGGCTCGGCCGTCTTCCCCATTCGGGCAGCATTCAAGCTCCCGACACCCCCGATCGCCACCTGACGCATCTAAAACCTAAAATGTCGTCCCTGTGGTTGTATACCCTACCCTAAGGGTCCATGTACTCAAACAGGATATACTTTGGCCTTAATGTAGTCCCTATATAGGTACTTTGGGGTCAATGTATATACTATTTGGGTACATGGACTCTTCGGGCTAGTTTCTTCAACCAAACTTGAAGGGTTCTATAAGGGCTCTATATACCTAGACCCTTCAATGTGGCGCCATTGGTTATGCACCCTAGTTTCTTCACCGTACCTCGAAAGCTTGTATAAGGGTTCTATGACTAGACGCAGAAATGTAGTACCTGTGGAAAACCCTAAACCCTAAACCCTAAACCGTTTCCGCTGCAGGATCCTAGTCACAAGCAGCTACCGTACTACTGTTCATGATCATTACCTTAGGGTTTAGGGTTTAGGGTTTAGGGACATTCCGCTCTATGGGTAATGCAGGATTTATATCATCAACCGTACATTCTTGGGTCTTGGGGGTCCAGACAGAGTTTAGGAGTCTCGCGTTCGGGGTTTAGGGCTTTGGGGGTCAGCTTTCGGGATGTAGAGGTCTAGGGCTTTAGGACGAGGGGATCCTCCTAATGCTAGGGTTTAGGGTTTAGGGTTTAGGGAAAGGCTTCAAGGCTTATGACTTTAAGGGTCCATGTACCCAAATAGTATATATTTTTAACAGGTACTTCGGGGCTAAAGTATACACACTAGTTGGGCAAATGAACCCTTAGGGTGAAGAAGTTGCAACAAGCAGTTCATTTGGCCCTGGGCTTTCTAGGATAATGTAGGGGCCTTTGTGATTAAATAGGGTTTTGAGGCCCATTATAATAAGGAACCCCTGGACCCTGAACACCGAAAACCAAAATCCCAAAGGCCACATCCCGCACTCTCAGCCATATCTAGGCCTCTACAACAAATCCCAGAAACTTGGGACATGGTTTTTAGGAACATTAGTGCTAGAATCCCTGATGCTTTACTTTACGGGTATGAGTATAAGGTTTAGGGTTTAGGGTTTAGGGTTTAGGGTTTAGGGTTCTTTCTGGCTTTTGTTCAATGAACCCTTGGTGCAGGGCCTCTGCCCAGTCCACACAGAGCATGGAGACATCCTCAGATCGGGCATTTGAAGACATAAGCCCTTAGGGCTGAGGGCTTGGAGTTTGAGTTCTTTTTGGGGTTTAGGCTAATGTAGAGGCCGTACTAATTGGAATAGGGGTTTTGGGGTATATTATATTAGTTATATCGAGGAACCCCCAAACTAGTAAAGGTGACCTAAACCCTCAACCCTAAACCCTGACTAAGGCGCCTTTATTTGGGGTTTAGGGGTCGAGGTTTAGGCTTGAGGGGGTTTACGGTTTAGGGTTCGGACCCTGGGGTTTAGGGTTGGTATGGCTCTTGCCTGCTAGCATAGTAACCCATGAAAATCCTGGTAGATACACCTGAGTTTAGGGTTTAGGGTTTAGGGGTTTAGGGTTTAGGATTTCTTGACACAATTTTGTAAAGCCTGCATGAGCCCCACCCCCCAAACCATAAACCCTCAACTGCAGCTGCAAACCCCAATTAAGGGTCCGTGTTCTTATCTGGCTTGGGTTTAGGATTTAGGGTTTAGGGAAATATGGCGCACAATATGTCAGATACTATGGCCGTACAGCACCCAGTATCCAATGTACCTGACAGAGATAAGACCTTCAAAACATGAATACATTTCCCATTTGCTAAGGTACCTCGGTTACTCTGGGTAAAGGTACATGGACCCTGAGCGAAAACACTGTCGACTTCCAGATCGACCAAGCATGCAAATGCCAAGGACGTGACCCCCCTAAACCCTAAACCCTGAACCCTAAACCCTAAAATCCTAAACCCTAAACTCTAAACCTTAAAACCCTAAACCCTACTGTAATGAAGCTCTTATGGTCTTTAATCGTTTGGGATATGGTAGAAGGTAGGTGCGGGGGTCTAGGATCACCCTAAACCCTAAACCCTGAACAGTGTTCTTACCCTGAGGGATGCAGAGTGTTAGGGTTTCAATATTCTTACCCTGAGGGATGTAAAGTGTTAGTGTTTAAAAAATGCCTCAAAGAACTCCTCTAGGGCCTGAGTATGGGCGCTTAAAGTAAGTCGCCAGTCCTTAGCCCCCCAACCACCTCAGCCCCGATCCCATTCATGGAATCTCCCTGAGGCTCCAAATAGCCCACAGTAGGCAGTATTTATACACTTTAGAAACCAATGTGTCTACTATCAGTATAATCACTTGTGGAATGCTTTAGCCTCTATAGCCTAAAGCCTCAAGAATACAGTGCTGGCTATTTAGACTCCTGTTTTAGTCCCTGGTTTGCAATTTCTGCGCACTCCACCAATACGAACACCAGTAGAAGGCACTACCCTAAACCCTAAACCCCTAAACCCCCAAAACCTAAACCCCCAAAACGCTAGACCTAAACCCCTAAAACCTAAAACCTAAACCCCTAAACCCCTAAACCCCTAAACACTAAACCCCTAAACACTAAACCCGCCCCTAACCCTAAACCCCTGAAAGCCAAGTCAGCCAACGAGATCCTGAACCTAAAGCCTCGCCGAGCCCGAGGCTAAGGACATCCATGTCCGCGCATAGTGAGGAATCACCTTCAATGCTCCAGAAGGCTACTGATAGGGTTTAGGGTTTAGGGTTTTTTTTAAAAAAAGTGTTATGGGACTTTCTCTCTGCTGAGGTCCGGTCGCAGCCCTAGGGTTTAGGGTTTAGGGTTTAGGGTTACTGATGCTATTGATGATAGTCATCCTGCATTACCTTAAGGGCCCCTAAACTATGGGAATTATGGCATATATTCCTTATTATGGGTAATGCAGGATTTATGTCATCAACCGTATGTTACAGGGTTGTCAATGTGGCACAGTGACTCGTTGATGAGTCTTCTATAGTAGCAAAGCTTGAAAATGCTTCATGGGACTTCATGAGCATCGACGAAGATTTTGTAAGGGTTAGATAAAAAGCAAAGGCGTTGTGACCTAACACAGGTTTCGATGTTGACGGTTGCACTTGGCATTGGCTGTGCTTAACTCTAAACCCTAACCCTAAACCCTAAACCCTAAACCCTAAACCCTAAACCCTGAACCCTAAACCCTAAACCCTAAACCCCAATCCTAAACCTAAACCCCAGCAAGCTCCAAGAACATAAACCTTCACTTAAACCTGAAACCTAAAAAATCCTTAGCCCCAAAGCCTAGGTCCTTTATAAGGCCCGAGACCCTGAACCCCTTGCTTCATCTTCCGAGGGCTTTTCCGTGCAAAGTAGCAGCGGGGAGAATGGGCGCCAAGCTTGAAGGCTTGGGCTTTGGGGTTTAGAAGGGTTTTAGGGTTTAGGGATTTAAGGTTTTAGGGTTTAGGGATTTAGGGGTTTAGGGTTTTAGGGCTTACGTAGAGTTTCGGGCTTAGGAGTTTAGGGTTCTAGGGGTTTGGGACTCAGGGTTTGGAATCTAGGATTTAGTGTTTTGGTGATTGGGCCTTTGTTTAGTCGGTTTAGGGTTTAGGGTTTAGGGTGTAGGGTTTAGGATTTACAGGTTTTTTCACCTGAACCCCTAAACCCTACACCCGGGATTTAGAGTCGAGGGTCCAGGGTTTGCTCGTGGGTGTAGTTATGTGAAGGATCAGGATTTGGGGCTTCGGTGGCGCAGCGGTTTAGGGTTTAGGGCTTTGGGTTTAGGGTTGAGGGTGTAGGGTTTAAGGTGTAGGGTTTCCACGACTTTGTGCACACTTGTGCAATCGTGATGGCTCTGAGATATGCCAAGTAGAAAGAGTGCTAAACCTCTGACGACGATTCGGCTAGGGCTGCGATTTTGGGCTTGCACGACCACGCGCCTCGGCGTTGCTGTCCTCGTTGGATTTGGAGGAGGAGTCGTCCCCGTGCCAAGCCTGATGCTGCTGCCAAGACTTTTCCACTTGCTTTCGTGCTTCGTAAGCTTTCTCCAAGAATTCGTCGGTCGACTGCAAAGTGGGCTTCTCCTTGCGCCACCGCTTCAACGGCTTGGTGCCTTCCGGCCAGTCCGGGACCACAGCTTGCCATCGCTGCAAAGCATCGGCGTGCACCACGCCATCGAGAGTCTGAGCAGCTCCACCGTAAAGCTTGGCGCACTCGGTCATGATCACGGGCAGGATCTGGTGGAGCGTCTTGGCGTTCTCCTTCAGGACCCGCAAGATATCCGCGGCGCAGGGATTGAAATCTTTGCGTTGCTCTTTGTAGCTCTCCCAAGCGCACTTCTGCAGCGCCTTGTCCAGCTTCACGACCACTCCTAGCACCTCGATGCCGAGAGTGATGATACCAGCAACAGCAACAGCACCCCTACCAGAACAACACCGACAGAAATAAACAGGGAGCACTGAAAGCAGACCCAAACCCAAACAACTCCCAAGAACACTGGAGATGAAGCCCTATGAACCCCCTATGTAAAATCACCTTAAAGCCCCGAATCCGTAAAAGCCTAAAGCCTCAAGCCCCTAAACAGAAAACTGAGAAACCGACGCCCAAGCCAGTGCCTCAACTGAAAACCCTAAACATTGAAAGCCGAAAGCCCTAAACCCTGAAGCCTAAACCCTCAAACCCGTTTTGAACATTTGCAGAAAGCCACTAAGAGATGTTCTTAAGACCCTAGAAATCCGGAAAAAAGTCAAGGAAACAACAACCCTAAACCCCTAAAGCCTAAACCCCTAAACCCTAAACCCTAAACCCCTAAACCCCTAAACCCTAAACCCTAGACCCTAAACCCTAAACCCTAAACCCCAAACCCTACAGATCCTTTATAGATCCCTTAAAGGAACCCTAGAACCGCCCTAAAGCCCAAAGGCCGGCCTTCTCGGGCCGCAGCTCCACGACGTCGCCGGGCAGCATGTAGCCCGTGAAGAAGGAGAGGGGGAAGTCGAGGGTCCAGAAGAGGCGCACCTTCCGTTTAGGGTTTAGGGTTTAGGGTTTAGGGTTTAGGGTCTAGGGTTTAGGGTTTTGGGGATTTAGGGTTTAGGTTTCAGGGTCCAGAAGAGGCGCACCTTCAGAGGGGTTGAGGATTTGGGGTTTTGGGTTTGGGGATTTAGGGTTTAGGGTTTTGGGGATTTAGGGTTTAGGGTTTGGGGATTCAGGGTTTGGGGATTTAGGGTTTGAGGGTTTAGGGAAAGTCGAGGGTCCAGAAGAGGCGCACCTTCAGAGGGTTTAGGGTTCCTTTAAGGGATCTATGAGGGATCTATAAAGGATCTTTAAGGGATCTGTAGGGTTGAGGATTTTGGGGCTTACGGTGTTTTAAGGGTTTGGAGTCCAGAAGAGGCGCACCTTGACAGGGATTTTTTATCTACGATAGACGGACTTTCACGACCGCCTTGACAGGGTTTCGGGTCTAGGGTTTGAGGATTTAGGGTTTACGGTTTAGGGTTTACGGTCTAGGGATTTAGGGATTAGGGAGGGTTTGGGGTTTGCGGTTGAGGGATTCAGGGTTTAGGGATTCAGGGATGTAGGGTTTAGGGCTTAGGGTACAGGGCTAAGGGGTTTAATGTAAGAACCTACTTGAGAAACCTTGGATCTTTATTGGGGTTTAGGGCTTAGGGTTGTGGGGCCCGGCGCTGCATGGGAAAAAAAAGGCGCCTGATTAAGAAACGTTGGGTCCTTATTGGGTTTCAGTATACGAGTCCTAATCTTTTGGGGTTATAGGGCCAGGGTTTCTTTAACAGGCTCCTACATTCAGGCTTTTCTGGGCCCGGGGTTGTAGCGTTTGGTAGTTTAGGGCTTCGGGCTTCCTGCTTTGAGGTTAAGGGCACGTAGGGCTTAGAGCTGAAGGGCGTGTGCAAGTTCAGGGTTTTAGGGCCTGTTGCGTTAGGGCTTGGGGGTTTGAAGGTTGCAGGTTTAGGGAAAAGACAAGCCAGGTGCTGCGTGATTTTATCGGGATTGTGTTAACAGGGTTGTAGATGTTGGTGCACGCTCTAGTATTGCTGCGCAGGGACTGTCGAGTACTATATAAGAATATGAGGATTAAAACCCCGATATCAAACGCTTAGGTCCGAGCCCTAAATCCTGAACCTCAAAAGAACACACAATACCTTTAACACCTTTAACCCTGAACACCCAAAAAATCACTAGACTCCCTAATGTAGGGGCCTTAAAAACTAGAAAAGGGTTTTAGAGGTATATCGTACTATAGATAGGAACCCCAGAATATTATTGAGGACCCTATTTTATAGTAACAGCAACCTCCCCTAAACCCCTAAACCCCTAAACCCTACACCCCGAAACCCCTGAATCCTAAACCCCTAAACCCTAAACCCCGAAACCCCTAAACCCCGAAACTTGGCTTCCGGACGATCCATGCGATGAAGTCCAAGACGAGGGAGGTGCCAAGGTCGAAGAGCGAGAGTGGGATCATCTGAGCAGCTCCGAGGTGGTTCCCAGAGACTCCAATACCCCTTAATCAAGGAATATGCCTTAAAAATATAGTAGGATCCCTAATATGATTTAAGGTGTGTTCTTTAATTAAGGGGTATTGGAGTCTCTGGGGTTGGTGCGATGCTCTGAAGCTTAGGGTATGGGGGTTTAGGGGTTTAGGGTTTTAGGATTTAACCTTTAGACCCGTGAAGAGCATCAGCGGCCTCAGAGGTTTGACACCCAGAGGGGCCCTGTATACTACCATTGTGGAACTACGCCCCAGAAGACCATCCTTATTGTGGCTCTGTCCATAGTCGTCGAGTATACATTGAGCCTCTAGCATACTAAAAGTGTCAAACCATGCAAATGTGAAGGGTTATTTAGGGTTTGGGGTTTAGTGGTTTAGGGGTTCAGGGTTTGGAGGTTTAGGGTGTGGAGGTTTAGGATTTGGGGTTTAGGAACTTTTGTAGACAAAATACAAAGAGCCTTCGACTCCTTCTTTAACACAGCAGCCACCAAGTGTATCAGTTTTAACAGCCCTTCTTGCAGAGCGCAAAGACCTCGACAGCAAACCAAACCCTAATTTCAAACCCATACTCTGAATGTTAACTGGTGTCGTGCTGGGGAATAGTGAAGGACATACCATGGACCGAAAGGGAATCCTGCATAGCTGCATATTAACATCAAGACCCTCGTCAACAAGACCGCCATGAAAGGACACCTCACTTCGCAGTCCCCCAATGCACTGAAATACCTTGCATCCGCTAATTTTTTTTAGAAGAAACTGAAAACCCCCTTACAAACCTAATCAAAGTTCAGAGAACCATAAAACCCTGAATCCTAATCCTAAACTTTCCCGTTCACCGGATAAAAGCTGAGTATGCCCACCACGCATTCGTAGAGCACCAACATGCACGCAAAGGAGTCCCAACCTCATTGCGGCGATGTCTTGACTCAGTCTTTTGTGGCTCATTTCCGCTGTGAGGGTTCAGGGGCTTGAGTTGTTGCTTTGGCCATCTTTGTTCAGGCTTGTTTCGCAAGGCTCAGGTCTTTAAGGTTACCCTAAGGGTCCATGTGCCCAAATAGTATATACGTTGAATGTAGTCCCTATATAAGTACTTTAGGGCCAATATATATATATATAT